TCATTTTGTTAGATAGTGCCCAATGTTCAAGTTTGTCAAGATTCTTCTGTATCTTGAGCCTGTCTTCTGGAGTGTTGGCTATTTCTGCCTGCTTGGTGTCATCTGCAAATTTGGTGAGTTCCCCATTTATACCCTTCAGGGCAACCCTGAAGATGTTTCAAGGTGGCTCCAAGCTTGACACCAGGATTGAAAGGAAAATTGTTCCCACATTTTTTTAGGTCTATGCCAGGACAAGTAAGAGGTTGTTGTAAGTAAGAAACTTGCCTGAATAGCTGCTCAAGCATTTCCTGAACAGCCACAACCTTATTACTAAATCAATGGAAAAGGAGAGGAAGGGCTATCAAGAGATTGGCAATTACTTCAGCTTGGCCAGCACATAATGGGCAATGACCAGACAAGCTGAGACTGGACTCACCTGCTGTTGCCCTTGTAGACGTTGTTGTAACTGCAGCCGCAACTGATTTGGAGCTGTTGGAGGCCTATTGAGTGCCTGTCGTGGCTGCATCCCCACAGCAGGGAAAGCCCCACGAGGTGAAGGGACTTGGACAGATATAGGTCCAAAGGACTGTTTCTGCCTCACGATGCCTGGGAAAGGCCCAGGAAGGTTGGCAGTGGGGGAAGCCGAGGGATAAGGCTGAGGGTACATGCCGGGTTTCTGATCCATCATAAGAGTTTGTGGTGGTGTTCCTTGTTGTGGCTGGAACCTCTCCGTCAGTGCTTCTAGGCCACCCCCCTGTTTAAGAAATGAGATGAAATTTTTGAGTTTCAGTAGAATTCCAAATACATTGCTTGGACATTAGCTTTCTATTAAAGCAAATTCAACAATATAACATAGTAAATTTTATATGTATATAAATATAATACATATGTAATTAAATATAAATATTTAATTTAAAAGGCTGTCTAACTCCAAAATTACTCTGGGCAGCTTACATAGTTAAAAAGAGAAGAGAAAATAATCCAAAAAGAAAAAAAAAACATAATGCACGGAGTTTTTTTTTTTTAAATCAGCCTAATAATTAAACAATTATTTTAGATATGTGGAATAGTTTATAGCCCTTCTTCACCACCACAAACAAAACACGGAAAGAATACAAATCCCTTTCAGCAGAGCCAAAACACCCTACAGATTGCTCCATGTTTAGGGGACACTGATGTTACATGTTTTTAAAAATACAATTTCTTACATTTTATCCAATGTCAAATTCATTGGAAAAGACCCTGATTTTGGAAAAGATTGAAGGCAAAAGGAGAAGGGGATGGCAGAGGATGAGACGGTTAGATAGTGTCATCAACACAATAAACATGAGTTTGGCCAAACTACGGGAGACAGTGGAGGTCAGAGGAACCTGATGTTCTAAGGTCCATGGGGTCACAAAGAGTTGGATATGCCAGGGGTGGGATCCTATTGGTTTAACAACTGGTTCACTGAGCGCACACAGTTTATAGAGAAATCACCTTCCACATTACTGCTGTGGAGGAAAACAGCTGAGGCACAGCAATCCGCTGCCATGCCTGTCAGCTGGGCTTCAGAAAAGGGAACATAGGTAGTATAGAGCAGGAGCGGGCGGGCGGAGGCCCCCAGCTGAAAGTTGGAGTGAACTGGTTCGCTCCCAGCTGATAGTCGGAGCTACCGGTTCACTCGAACCGGTCCAAATCAGTAAAATCCCTCCCCTGGATGTGACCTAGCAACTGAATACCAACAAGAACAAAGCAGGTAGAATGACTAATAGGTAAGTTAGGAAGCTGTGAGTCTGGCTTTCCTATGTCTTTATTCAGTCTTGTATTAATTTATTTTGTTGGCTGCGAACTCAACTTCCCCAACACAGACTTATTGATAATCATGGCCAATTGGATAGGGTTTGGGATCATGTCTGACAGAAGTTATAATTTCTATTGTGATAGATTTCTTAAAAGCCAAATCAGTTGGAAGTTGGGATGTAATGAAATAAACTTTCATGCCTTATTCTTCATGGAAGGGCATAATTCAAGGGGAAAAAAGTCATACTGAACTTATCATTCTTCATAAATATATTCAAGTCCTATACGGTCTATGTCAATATACTTTAGCTAGTTGAAAATATCACAATGTCGGGGAGAATATTTATTTTGCTTTCTACACTGTATTAATTTGATGTAAATTTTTGTTAATTGTTTTAATAATTTAATGCCTTTAATTTGTTCGTTACTCTGGACAACATCAGGTTTTTTAAGGGGTTAACTGTAAGCAGTGGTGGGATTCAAATAATTTAACAACCGATTCTGTGCCTAATGCCCAGCTGGGTAGGCGTGGCTCAGTGGTCATATGACCATGTGGACAGGGCCAACTCAACATCACTCAGGTTGAAGGGCGCTTTGCCTTAGCTGTTACAATGTAATAAGGGTTAACCCGAGAGGCAGTTTCTGTAAGCAGGGCAATAAAGATTAGGCTAGAAACAACACCAGGATGTTTCCTTCCTGCCTTCCTTACAGGATTAGCCCTGTAAAGTGGGAAAAAAAACAAAATAAGATTTCTTCCAACAACCGTTTCTCTAATTGCTTAGAAAGTTAACAACCGGTTCTCCGAACTGCTTAGAAAGTTAACAACCGGTTCTCCCAAATAGGTGCGAACCAGCTGAATCCCACCACTGCCCTGTTTCATATTTTGTTTTTGCAACATTCATTTTCTGAGAATCCTCTGAATCCACACATTGGAACCGTATCATCAGGGCTACAAATCTTCTCCAGAAATCTTTCTTACAGTTGATGGCTAGCAAAGCAAACTCCTCGGGAAAGGGCGGCATATAAATAAACTTCTCAAATCTCAAATCTCAAAGGGTTAACCGGAGAGGCAGTTTCTGTAAGCAGGGCAATAAAGATTAGGCTAGAAACAACACCAGGATGTTTCCTTCCTGCCTTCCTTACAGGATTAGCCCTGTAAAGTGGGAAAAAAAACAAAATAAGATTTCTTCCAACAACCGGTTCTCCAAACTGCTTAGAAAGTTAACAACCGGTTCTCCCAAATAGGTGCAAACTGGCTGAATCCCACCACTGCCCTGTTTCATATTTTGTTTTTGCAACATTCATTTTCTGAGAATCCTCTGAATCCACACATTGGAACCGTATCATCAGG